GGCCGACGAAGCTGCAGTGCCCCCAGTGGTGGCCGAAGAGATTGCAGCGCCACCAGAGGCGGGTGCCGGCCCCGCCCTGGCCTCCTGCCCTGCCGGTCCCGCCCTGGCATCCTGGTTTACCTCTATCTCCAGGCCCTCTTCCACTACACAGGCCTGGTCCACCATCCCTCCCCCTGATCCACCTCCGTTCCGCCTACCTCCGGGATTTCTTTTGGTGGAGTGTCTGGAATCCGCTCCTTAAGGGAGGGGTTCTGTCACAGTCTTCAGCGGGTGTGCCCAGGATGGCCACCAGATGACACTGTTTTCTGTGAGCACATGGCTTGTGTTGTGTTTGTTTGGTGCCATGTGCTCTCTCCTGTCTATTGTCTGACCCCGCCCATCTTGTTACCTCATTAACATTAAAGAACATTAAAAATATTAAAAATAAATATACATAGCATTCACATGCTCCTCGGATGCTCTCATTTCCATAGTCAAATAAATGTATTTCACGATCTGGGTCATTATTTAATACAAAACAAAATTTAATACAAAACCACACATAATGTTTCTACTGTATCTCTGTCAATCACGCTGATATTTAGTTAAAATGAGTGAATTGACTTTTCGTTTCTTTAATCAGTTCTGTGAATGACTGTATGGTATGCCACATGCACTGTAATATGTTTTATATTAAATATAAAATTTTCAAATGAAAATAGCAGCATGATCGTTTTATAAAGAATGCGTTCATATGTGTTAAAGGGGTCCTATTATGCTCTTTTACAAAGTCTTGATTTTGTTTTGGGGGTATACTAGAACAGGCTCTCATACTAGGTTGTTCGAAAAACACATTATTTTTCACATATTTTACATTATTACAACACCTCTCTCCCCAGTCATATGTATGTATATATATATATATATATATATATATAGGAATAGGAATCCAAACCTATTAAACCTATCAAAATGTATTAAAGTACACAATACATTTGTCAGTTTCTTTTCTATAGTAAATATTAAATATAGAAATGTACTTCTAATAAGTTAGCAAACTTATTTTAATTTGACATCTATTTTAAAATGTATTATTAATTTCAGTAATTTGTTTTTAAATGTAACAGGTGCAGAGAAACATCTTATTCCCTTTTTAAAGCATTCCTCCTCCATCAGCTGGCTGACTATTTGGCACACACACATACAAATACAATTTTGCAACTTGCACCAAGAGTAGATATAACATGGCAGTGCTTCTATACCGATGACGCATGATGTCCCCTGGGTTATGAGGTGCTATTATTATATCTTACGTACTCTGATGTACAGCCAGTACTGAACTTCCCTAGAGACAGTTAAACACAGATGTATAGACTGGGTAAAAGGGTCTGTCCCTTTTAGTGGCACAAGTGAATGAATGATTTCACTCCAACTCCTTAAGTATGGTTGGCCATTTAGAATTGGACTTCCTGTGTTGTATAACATGGCCGCAGGATGTTGCTTAATGTATGTGACGTTCAAATTCACATGCTCAAAGTGTGTTTTGATGGTTCCAACTGGAGCTACAGTATATGAGAGTTGAATGAGAAAACCAAATAATTGGTTAATAATATTTGAAGCTGTTTTTAGAGGACATTAGTAGATTTTATAATTTTTGGAGGTCAGTTGTACTATGCATGCTTTAGTTAGCAGATAAATAGATTTTTTTCCCCATGGCATTAGCTTTGCTTGAATGATATAGATGAAAAGTAGAACAGGGATTTACATGAGGGATTATGCAATGACATGATGTCCTTCTGTTACTTGGCAGTTCTGTGTGTGTGTGTGTGTGTGTGTGTGTGTGTGAAAGAGAGGAAGAAAAAGAGTCATAAATATGTTTTATGTTGTATCTGAAACTGTGGTGCTGCATCTATGAAGTTCAGAAACCTTTTCTTTTGAGATAGCTGGGCTACTGGCACTGAGAGTCAGTATTAAAATTAAATACTGATTTAATTTTTTTAAGTGCTCAAATCACATTTTTCACAGCATTTAGAATTGAAATAGTCCTGCATTATTAAAGAACAAAACAGTATCCTGCAAGCTTACCTTTTGGAGACAATAAATCCATTTGTTTACATGAAATTTGTTTTAAATCAATTCATTTGTTTTTCTGTCACCATTTACTCCCGTTCCAAACCCATATGACTTACTTTCTTCTGTCAACAACAAAAGGAGAAATTTTGCAGTACAGGTATGGGTCACTTTTTTCACACAGTGAGTAGCGGTAAAGTATCATAACAGTGCACATAACTTTTCTCAATTTGCAACTGAAATTGAAATCATTCACAGATCTTCCTCTTCAGTAAGCTGTTAACAGTTGCAAATGGATCATTAGGTCAGTGAGTTGAAGTGTTTTATCTGAGTAAGTGTTTTAATTTGTAACAACATGAGGGTGAGTAAAAGACAATTGTCATTTTTTTGGGTTAACCAATCATTTAACAGCCAAAGAGCTCAATTATGGAATTGTTAATAAGGCCAAATTAGCAGTTTATGCAGCAGCAATGTCACACACAGAGAAAAACATATATGTATATATACATATTACAGTGTTTTTTTAAATAGTGTAGGATTTTGAGCTTATTGTGATCACTTTAGACAATTCCCCATTTAGATCATATTGCATTGTGTATTAAATGAAAAACATAGATCAATGAACTATGTAAAAAAAGTTTCCCTGCAGAACCAAGATAAGTGTTTACTTAGTGCAGAAAACCCTTTACAACCTATTGACTCTCTGAAGGTCATTCTTGAATCACCCTTTTTGAGATCAGAACATGCTGTGTGGGTTGGAGGAAAATTAATTCACCACATTTATCTTATTGCTTTTTGTTGTCTGTTTGTGTTAGTTATGTATGTGAAAATGCCCTGTGTGTGTGTGTGTGTGTGTGTGTGTGTGTGTTCAGAAAAGCTTTCCTCATCACTGGTTGACTAAATTCAATTTCTCAGTCCAGTAATGGTTGCTCAACCATGTACTGAAAATATGTGTACTTCAAATGTCCTTTTCATGGTTATTGTGGCTTTTTGCTTCATGGTTGATTAAGAATATTTAAAACAGTTTACTTAAAAGGCTATTTTTATGCGGTTTTGCATTTGCTTTGGGTCTTGCACATCCCACCAGTATGTTGTGTCAGAGCTCATGCTGCCTGTCAGACTCCTGACTGTAGTGTCTGTGGTTTCGTGTGGGCTGGCTGTGAGTAAGACTGACGGAAGACGTTCCGTTAATTATATTCTGAGCTACTAATAAGCATCAGGAAGTGACTATAAAGACAGTTTAAATGCAGGTACATGATTTCAGTGACTGCTTATTGCTCTGTAAGTAGATGAAAATTGTACAATTGTCCTTCATGTTTTCACAAGATCCAAGTCCATTTAAATTGTTTCCTCCATGATGAAGAGTTTATGAGGTTTTTGCAATGCATTTTTCTTACATAATGGCTGTGCATTCATTTTATGCAGATTTTTAGTGGGATAGTTCTAGTTTTCTCAAGTGCAGAGTATTATTTTATCTGTGTTAATTAATTACATACTGTATGTTTATGCTTTTTGTGGAGTGTGGTGCAAAGAAACCTCTCTGTTGGTAAAATTGGCTTTTAAAGGAAAGTTCAGGAGAAGCGAGTTTGATGGCTAGCAGACGGAAGTTCATGGACCGGATACGTAACAGAGTTCATTTGATCCTGTCAATCACATCACAGTATTTACAGGGCTGCTCACCTCGTTCCTGTGACAATACTTCCAGTATGTGTCCCCCATCTCCAACTTTTTTTTATTCACTTCTACGGTATTATGTCCATATTTGACCCAAAATTGGGTTGAAACAACCCAGCATTTTTTAGAGTGATGAATTAATGTCCAGAGAGATATTTAGCATGATTTGGGATGTTCCACAGAGCATCTTGTGCATCAGTGGAAGCATGAACGTGTAACATTTTGTGCAAAGATCACTTAATCAGTGTGATTTATTTGCTTGTTTTATTAGTGAGCTAGAAATAGTTCAGAATTTTTTATACATCTTATTAATTTTACATAATAAAATTTTAGCATGATTTAAATTGTTCAAAACAAAAATGTTCAGGTTTAATTTAGGTTTGAATTACAGATTACTGTATACAGTATACATGACCATTCAAGAGTTTGGGGTCAGTCATTTTTTTATACTTATATTTTATGAAAGGACACATTACATTGATCAAAGGTGACAGTAAAGGCATTTGTAATGTTACAAATATTTTCTATTTCAAATAAATGCTGTTCTTCTGAACTTCTGAACCCAGAAAAAATGTATTACAGTTTCCAAAAAAAAGCAGCACAACTGTTTTAAACATTGATAATAATAAGAAATGTTTCTTGAGCATCAAATCAGCATATTAGAATGATTTTTAAAGAATCATGTGACACTAAAGACTGCAGGTATGACTGCTGAAAATTCAGCTTTGCCATCAATTACATGAATTACATGTTAAAATATATTAAAATAGAAAAGTTATTTTAAACTCTAATAAAAATTTCACAATATTACTTTTTTTTGTGCTTAAAAGACTTTTTAAGATTTTCCCCCCCAAACTTTTATACTTTATTATATATGGTTTAAGAAAGGACTGTCAATGGACAGTTCTGTTTTATATTAGTAGTTCATGCACCCTAAAAAGCATTTACTTTGACTATGTAAGTTCAGATGACTCAAATCTTCCTGTGAAGATGCCTGCTTTGTAGGTCATTTTCATTTACACCCATTACCATATTCAAATGAATGTAATTGCTGTCTGGTGTGATTCCTGCCTCCCTGTGATGACTTTAATTTACCGCTGGTGAGAGCAGCTGGGTTTTAGAGCACATCCGCATGGCCCCTTTTTAGACAAAGTGACTCAGCACTTATTGACTGCGTGGCGGCCACTTAGTGGCTGAGTATTAGATGTCCACTCAGGATCTCAAACATATTTTATTAACCTTACTCATTCGCTGCCATTCTTTTTCTTGTCTTTCAGCCATCATCAACCCCAAAGCACCCAAAGAAACCAAAAGTTTCAATTTTGATTACTCCTACTGGTCACACACCTCAGTAAGTCAGAACTACTTAAAAAAAGACATTAAAATGAAATGAAACTTAGAAAAATCAGCATTACTTGCAGTGAAATACACTAAACATGTTGCATTTAAAAGATGAGAGAAGTAAAGCCTTCAAATGATCAAATATCATATATTTCTCTTCATCTATCCACAGCCAGAAGATATCAACTATGCCTCCCAGCAGCAGGTGTACAGAGACATTGGAGAGGAAATGTTACTTCATGCCTTTGAGGGCTACAACGTCTGTATCTTTGCATACGGCCAGACTGGGGCCGGTAAATCTTATACCATGATGGGCAAACAGGAGAAGGACCAGCAGGGGATCATTCCACTGGTAAAAAAGATGCAAGAATAAGCAAATATGAAGAAGAATAAGTATTTCTAAATGTCAATTTAAGCACTTATATGCCAAGATTCAGCTGCAAAGTGGCCTTTTTGTGTATCTAAAGCACATATTGTCTCATTGGCATTGCTGTATAAATAGGAAGATGATAATGTATTCAGAGGCAATGTGAACAAGATCAATTCAAACAGAATTAAATGACATGTCAAACACCAAGCTGAGTAGTACACAAGAAAATGATCATTCATCATTGATCAGTCTCTTTCCTCTTCTCCCCTCCATCTTAACCATCAGCTGTGTGAAGATCTTTTCACCAAGATTAATGACAACAATACTGATAACAACATGTCCTATTCTGTGGAGGTAAGATTTGGCCAAGCCCTTTTTTTCTATTTCGAATCTTTGTGTAGCTTAATTCCAAAGCAACTTTAGGTATGGAATTTTAGATGAATCTGCGCCCTGTTATCACAGTTATTATGATAAAATACCTATAGTAAAAAAAAATGTTCACTTCAGCAACATTTTTTTCATTGTACATTTTGTATATGATTTTTTTGTTTTAATGCTCAAGTAGAATGTTTTTTGCTTTTAACAGTCTATTATTTTCGTCCTTTCAGGTTAGTTATATGGAGATTTACTGTGAAAGAGTACGAGATCTTCTGAACCCAAAAAACAAAGGAAATCTACGTGTGCGAGAGCACCCATTACTGGGCCCGTATGTAGAGGATCTGTCCAAACTCGCCGTCACATCATATAACGATATTCAAGACCTGATGGACTCAGGGAATAAGGCTAGGTATTCTATTCTATTCTATTGTTATGGAGTGTATAAATCATGTCTGTATGACTGTAATTACAATTTTCCAAAAGTTAAAAACTATCCATGTACATTACTGTTAAAAAGTTTTGGTCAGTAAGATTTTTGTTTAAAAGACATTAATATTTTATTAAGCCAGGACACCTTAAACTGATTAAAAGTGACAGTGAAGACATTTAAAAAAAATTTTTTTTTTTTTAATAAATACTATTCTTTTGAACTTTTTAATTATCAAACAATCCTGTAAAAAAATTATCATAATTTCCACCAAAATTGTTTTAATGGTACTGTATTTGTTGAACACATAATTATAAATGGGGAAACTTTTAGAATTGTATGAAAGTTCCAAATTCTCTGATTTGACTGTCATGATGCAATGACGCCTAAATGGATTATGCCACAAAAACAACTAAAGATAGTCACCTGACCTAAACTCATTTTTGAATTCTGTTCAAGAAGCCATTTTATTATAACCAGTTTACATTCTATAGCCAGGTGCATTCTCTTTATACTTAAGCATTTAGCAAGAGCATATAGAGGTGATTTAATGTAGTCATTAAATTATATGCTGTCTTCTAAAAGCCGTACATGGATTTTTGGAGATTTTGAGGGTTGCCATAGAAACAAATCATTTCTGAGTCTGAGGACCTGCTATTTTGTAATTACAGTAATTCGGGCACAATGTGAAAGTGTTCTGTTCTGTTCCTTGTTCTATTCTATTCTATTCTATTCTGGCTTCTAGAAATAACCAATAATGGCCTTTTTCTGCACAGACCAGTGGCCTCACTCCTCAGTACAGTCCTGGTCACATTTGTTTTTTCAAGGTCTTCATGGCCACATTGAGAGAGAAAAAACAAATATTTACTTATTATTCGGGCTTATCATCATGGAAACAAATGGACCATTTCATTCCAGGAGGCATTGTGTTAGCATCAGTCAACGGTTCTCTAATCTCTAAGGTGTTGAACTGCACCCCTGCCAATACACTACACTTCCCTCCTACACTATACATTTAGCCTGTTATGTAAGTTGATGTTTGGCAAAACAGACAGCAGCTAATTAATGGAATAAATAAGGAGGAGGTCTAAAATTTGTAGCAAAAAAAAAAAAAAATTCTTCAGTGTAGTGTACTGTGTAGTCTGAGGCCTATTGGAATTGAATTTTAGCTGCATTTGATGAATATGAACTACCATACAAAAGTTTTGGGTTGGTAAGATTTTTTTAAATGTTTTTGAAAGAAGTCTTATATGCTCTCTAAGACATTGTGATCAAAAATACAGTAAAAATAGTCTTACAATTTTAAAATAAATGTTTTCCATTATTCATTCTTCTTTCTATGTGTTTTAAAATGTAATTTAGGCTATTCCTGTGATGACAAAACAGAATTTTCAATAGCCATCACTCCAGCGTTAAGTAACAAAAGAACATTTCTTATTATCAATGGTTAAAACAGTTTTTCTACTTAATATTTTTGTGGAAATTTTGATTTCAGGATTTTCTGATGAATATAGAAAGTTTAAAAAATGATTTATTTGAAATAACGTTTCGGTAACAGGGAAAGTCTTTACTGTCACTTTTGATCAATTTAATTAATCCTTATTGAATGACAGTATTTTTAACAAACATTGTACTGCCCCCAAATGTTTGAACAGTACTGTACATTGGAGATTGGATCTAAATACATCAGGAAAACATTTTGTTGATCGTTAAACTTCAGTTCAGGATCAGGGATCAGATGACTCACAGAAGTAGAAGTTAGCGCAAATGCTGTGATATGGTTTAAAGAGACCTGAGAAAACTCTAAATACACAGCACTTCCTCACATAGATTGGAGTCTGAGAACTCAATATGAATTACATTTCTGAATGGTGAAATTCTGTTATCCAGGACAGTAGCTGCCACTAACATGAATGAGACCAGCAGCCGTTCACACGCTGTCTTCAACATCATCTTCACCCAGAAGCGTTATGACTCGGAGACAGACAACACTTCAGAAAAGGTACATGCTGCTGTTGCATATTATGGACCCTGTCAGTCACAATAAACAGCTCAGTTTAGAGCGAGAGGTTAGGCCACTTGTCTCCCACCCTTATACAGGGCTTTATTGGATGACGTTTGACATTGGGAGTTTTTTTGTGGGGGGGTGTTGATGTGAAAGGTGATATAGGCTCGTCCATTTCTCAGCATGTTCATTATTGACCTCTCCTGAACTTCTCTGGCAGGTCAGCAAAATCAGTCTGGTGGATTTAGCCGGCAGTGAGAGAGCTGATTCCACTGGAGCCAAAGGCACACGGCTCAAGGTGACTATATATATATATATATATATATATTTTAGCTTTCCAAGTTCACTTCTTATCCCCCATTGTCTGTTGTCCTTTCATGCCCTCTAGTTAACTCCCTCAGTATCTACATCATTATATATCCTCTGTTTCTTCTATCTTTTCTAACATCAACAAATGTCTCTCTCTCTTTCTCCGTTTGTCCTCTAATTCTCTCCACATACTTCCTGCTATCAGTGCTCAGAGAGCATGCTGGCATTTTGACAGTACTCCGCTTCATTCTATCATGAATATTTTTTTGAGTTTGGAATTGTAATTCTATTTTCTACCTAATCTTTTCTTCCCAGGAAGGGGCAAACATCAATAAATCACTCACAACCCTGGGAAAAGTCATTTCGGCTCTGGCTGAGGTGGTAAGTGTTTTGTTTTGCTGTGAGCCTTGAGGATGTTGGATGATTTATTATTTTCTGCATAGAAAGTTCAATGTGTGTCAGTTTAATCACCTGCAATTTATTTTATCACTTATTTTTGCAGGATTCTGGCTCAAACAAGGTATAACACTTCATCTATCTATCTATCTATCTATCTATCATTTGGGGTCAGTATTTTTTTTTTTATTCATACTTTTATTCAGGACACATTACAATAACCAAACATGACAGGAAAGACATTTATAGTGTTACAAAAAGATTTTTGTCAAATAAAAGCTGCTGTTTGTTTTGAACTTAATTAAATTGTAATTAATTAATTTTAACTGATTAATTTTGATTATTCATTTTGATATTAATCTCTATTCATCAAAGATTCATCCTGGGAAAAAATGTATCACATTTTCCACAATAAATAAATAAATATGTAAGTAGGTAAGAAAGTAAGTGTAACGATTCAGTCCACTGAAGGCGAGCGTAGTGAGAACCCAAGTGCAGTTTTATTTACAAGATGTGATCCAAACAAGATACACAGACTTGACTTGACGAGGCATGAACAGACTAGACTCACCGACAGCGGGTTACAACATCAATACACGACCAAAGACAACATGAGGGCTACTTATAGCAAACAAGGAGGGTCACATGACATGAACAAACCAATGGGAAACAAGACACATGACTAAGACAACCAATCAGAACATGACACAGACAAGGGAATCACATGACTAGACAATAACCAAATGAGAGCATGACACATACACAAGGCAGAAAGACATGAGGCAAGGGAAGCATGACACTAACAGCAGGAATCAAACTACAAAATAAAAGACATGAAAACATGAACAAGAAACACAACCCAAAACACCACATTACAGTAAGTAAATAAAATAAATAAATAAATAAATGTTAAACAGCACAATTGTTTTCATAACAACATAACATAACATAACATAACATAACATAACATAACATAACATAACATAATATAATATAATATAATATAATATAATATAATATAATATATAATATAATATAAACAAAATTTTTTCATTTAATAATTTTATTTTTTTCCCACACAGAATAAAAAGAAGAAGAAAGTAGAAAGTTTTATTCCTTACAGGGATTCTGTACTGACCTGGCTACTGAGAGAGAACCTTGGTATGTATCAGAGTGTTCTGTCACATGAAACAGGATTTTAATGTATTGTCACTCTTGAAACACTTGACCTTTCACCTTTGCAGGTGGCAACTCTCGCACCGCAATGGTGGCGGCTCTCAGTCCTGCTGACATCAACTATGATGAAACCCTCAGCACTCTCAGGTATTCTGCCTCAATAAAACACCAGTTTTATCATATTTTTCTCTGTCTGAGGTTGGTAATGAGCTAGTTAATGAGCTGACGGGTACCGCAGTATGTTACATAATGAGAATGTTCCTGTTCCCTCTCAACACACCTGCCTCCCAAACGCCCTTCAAAGATGCTGGTGTGCAGTAATACTGCTGAGCAAAGTAATTGGGCACCTGTCAGTGTGTGTGTGTGTGTGGGTGTGTGTGTGTGTGTGTGCAGTAGAGTCTCTCTAAAATCTTTTTTTTTTTTTCATTATACTATGTGTATATATCTAATGCAACAGCCATAAGAAAGCAGCATTATTAAAACACATTTTTACATATATTACCATTTGTTTATTCTTCTTTACCATCTTTCCACTTTGCATGTGATTCAGGTATGCAGACAGGGCTAAGCAGATCCGTTGTAATGCTGTGATCAATGAAGATCCTAATAACCGTCTGGTGCGTGAGCTGAAAGATGAGGTGTCCCGTCTGAAGGACCTCCTCTATGCCCAGGGCCTGGGTGACATCATCGAGAGTAAGACCATTTGCTTTTTATCTGCTCTGCCTTCATTTCATCATAAGTATTTCATCAGACAGCTTGCGACCACTTTTGTTTTTATGGTACTGAGACATGCATTACTGTACTGCATATGTTTTATTGTTCTGTTCCAAATCCTAGTAAGCTGCCAACAGAGACAGAGCTTTTTTAAGGCATCACAGATGGCAACAGCTGTACAAAAAAAGTAGGCAACTTAAGTAGGCTGTCTTCTAAGCTCATTTTGGCCATATTTTAAGGAAACGTGTTTGCATGTAGAGGTGAAACACTGAAAAAATGAATCCAAAATGGTGGATGAGAAATAGAAATGTTGATTAAATATTTGCTAGCTATAGTTCACTCGGTACTGAAAGTATCAATGGAAAGAATTCAGTGTTACAATTGTTTATTTAAATTTTTTTAATTGTTAATATTTGTGTTTGCTATATATTGTTATATTTATTAGAGTATCAAACTGTTAGCTTATCAACATGCTAACATCAAACTTTAACATCAGTGTTGAGCACTACTTGTGCACCACGTGAAGTTGCTGTCAACATAAAGTATTCAAAATTGATCACTCTTGATATTTCATAACAGTCAATGCTGCCTTATTAGGCAGCTGCCTATGTAGGTAGTAGGCAGCAAACAGCTTGCAAGGTTTTGGATCAGAGCTCTTATGTCTCTATAAGAGATGGAAGAGAGTTGCATATATAATAATGGATGGTTAAAATGAAGTATTAATAGTTAATTAAACACACACACACACACACACACACACAAACAAACACACCCACACCCACCCACACACACACACACAAATGTACACTCTTTAAAAAACTCACATTGATTCACTGGGTCCTCTACTCTTCCCTGTGCATTCCTAACTCTATTTCTTCTAATCACTCGTTTCTTTTCTCATCCTATCGTCTCTCGATGGTGATCCCAGCAGGGAAATGCCTTAGAACAGACGATCTGGAGTCCAGCCCTCTGGGTTTGGTACAATTCAGTGTCAAATGACTTTCAAACGTCTAATTCAGATTCAGAATTTCCTCTTAGCTCTTAGTCTTTTTATGTCAAACAATTCGTCTCACGTTCTTCTCTCTCTCTTTCTCTTGTTTTCAGTTCAATTGGATATCTTTTATAAAAAAAATGTATTCCTCTTACTCTTGTTTCTTCTTTGTTATTCTCAGCGTTTCGGGGGCCAGTTGAAGATTTTGCTGGTTTGAAATGTGTGTTTCTTGGGCGCTATCTCACTCTCTCTTCTATGCTTTTGCAGTTTGTATGGATAAAGCAGGTCTCTGCAGCCTCAGGGTCAATTCAAGGGTTTGAGAGAAAATTCATACTCTCTCAATCATACAAAAATCATATCAGAGCCATGTTCGTGTCATATTCCATGAAAGCTTTAAATGTTTGTCTGTTAAGTCTATCAAACTATTTTGTTGTAATTTCTCTGTGTAGTCGTAAATATATTAAGCAGCTTTTGTAATTGCCAGTAGCAATTATCCCATTGTATATTTGACATTATATAAATAATATACAAAATTATATAACAGCATTAATGTATTTGGTATTTATTTTGTATCTAATATTTGTATTATTATAAATAATGTAGATATTAGGAAAGTTACATTTGTAATGGACAAACATAATACAGTCTTCTAAAAATCTAAATGATTGTTACCAAAATGCCATTTTTGGGGGTGGTATTTTGGTGATATATTTTGATTATTTGGTTGTTGCTTTTTTCTAACCCTGGTTGCTAGTGTGGTTTCTGAGCTGAACGCTGCTTTATCTAGTCTGGTGCTGCAGGGCTGTTTGTTCCCTCTCTCTTTTTCACTGCCTCTTTTTTGTTATCTTTCTCTTTTGGCTTGCAATGCAGAGCAGGATAAATGTTATGTGTCACTTATGAACTAACTGATTTCACTCATCCACTTATCTGTCATATTAGTAATGTTCTTCAGTTGCCCTCACACTGTCAGCATTTTCTATATGTTTCATTTAAAGGTGCACTAAGCGGTTTTTGAAAAACGCTTTTGACCACAGTGTCGGACCGAGTCCCAAAACAAACTCGCAGCCAATCAGCAGCAAGGGGCGTGTCTAGTAATGATAGGGAGAAGAGAGCGCTCAGTGAGTGCACAGGACAGATTTTAGCTGATCGACTAAAGATAGCGAGAGATGGCAAAAAAAAAGGAACATTTCGGAGGAACAAAACATTAAAATGGAGGTTTACAATCAGGCAAGAGGTAGGACCCGCGTAAATATCGGAGCAGCTTCCAGCAGTGGAGAGAACTTAAGGAGCAGGAAGGCCTGGAATCAGACGCTGAGGTTGCTTTGTTTCTTCATGATAGGTGAGTTACATTGATGTAGCTTTTTTACACAACTTTTCTGTGTTGGAATTTTGCTTGGATATGCTGCGTCCGACAGGCATAGCAGATTCCGCCATCGTCGCTGCCAGGGTTGTGTACGTACGTGTAGGGCGGAGTTATCAAAATAGGGGCGAGGTCCTGTTGGGGTATGGGTGTGTTTGTTTTGGTGCTTTCAAATATCATCATCGTTTGGCAAAAATCTCTTAGTGCACCTTAATTGAGAATGAACAGGTTTAGTAATGCTTAAGAATTGTGGTTTAATGCTGAAATCATTGGCCTTCCAAAATTGTCTGCACACTTTATCCACACTTACAAATGTATAAATGTCATTTTATTAGATAACTAAGTATCAAACAAAATGGCATCTGCATGTGCAATGTGCTACTTTTCTTTACAATGTGTAGTGCTAAATTTTGTATTCTAATGCAAGGAAATTCATTATTTTTTAAGTGTGACTTGTGTCTGAGTACTTATGTACTTACAGTTTAATATGCACTACAGTTCTCCAAGACATGGGAGAAGGCTTATATCTGCTTGTATTTTGCAATGGGAGGGCCTTATATCAGATGTGTGTTTGAGTGACAGCTCGTGTTCTCTGAAGCTTTATGCAGTGGCTGCCTGTTGCTAGCTGCAGCTTTATTAACAGCTAAACATCAAACCCTAAAGCTTCTTAATATCCTATGTAACAAAACTCACCTTTAAAGCTAATGATGATGAGGGTAGGCAGGGAGAATTTGTGGTATGAATCTTGCCTCTTTACCTCTTATTAAACATGTCACTGGAAAACCTGCAGTTGTTACATCAAGGAACAGTTTCTGCATTTCAAAATAACTTCTGTTGGGGTACGTAATTTGTTATAAGTTGATTTAGTCAGGTGAAATAATTTTGACTTACAGTTAATTTAGATGTTACCACATTCAGTGCTTTTTATCAGTTATTTAATAAAATATATATATACCATTTATGATATAACATTTCTTTTCTCAGGGTTTTGGTAGTAGGTGATGATGGAATACAATTATGCCCAGTTTTCCAAACCAAGAGAATAATTTGTAGATTGGCAGCAACTATTTACATGTATAAGAGAAGGTAGATGCTACTTACAGCAAATTAAAAAAAATTAAATCGTGTTTGCACCAATGTTATTTTAGTGTTATTTATATACTGTTATATTATTTATTCATGTTTTGAATTAGCTTTTATTGTTATATTTTTCATTTTAGCTGAAGTTTCAGTGATTTTTTTATGTGATTTTCTCATTTTTATTTTAGTTTTAGTTTTTTTGAACCAATCATTCTTTATAGCTTTAATTATTTTTTATTTCAGTCTTAGTAAGTTTAGTACTTAAACGTATTTATTTCAGTTAGTTGCCAAGGCAACATTTCTAATTTTCATTTCAATTTAAATTTTGCATCTAATATTTTATTTTACTTTTGTCTGTTACTTTTTTAAATTGTCAGAGTCATGTTGTGTGAAGTTAGTGAAATAGCCTTTGCTAAAACAAGGTTGATTATTTGCACTTGAAGATATATCACTGGCCAGTTGTGAAAAATATTTTTAGTGCATCTTGCTGTGTGCCTGATGCAGCCATTATTCAAACACAGATTAATGATGTAGAGAAGGGAGAAAAAGCTTAGTTAACCTCAAGCCTTGCATGCACTGGCTCAGAGCACTGCTTTAAGCAGAGACTATTACCAGAAGTGCCTTTCTTTAGTGTAGTTTATGTAATCCTCTCATATCAGCTGCTATATGCATAAAATAGCATGTGAATCTCCAGTCTCCATCTTAGTTTTGTGTTTAGTCATTCGTCACCAGGGGACACGTCTTCTCACATTTTACCCAAGATACTTGCCTTGTAGCTCTCTTAGGAGTAGTAGCACAGAGTAAGCGCTCTGTTGCCATGGCAGCACTGTCAGAGCTGAGAGATGTTATTGTGCCGAAGGTTACAGAGAAATTACAAAGCCAAACTCTGTAGAATATACGTTCATTCAGCCGTTATATCCCGTGTTACATTTCTTATGGTATTAGCATAACAGTTCAGCTAGAGATATATGATATTGTGGTTGGATAGGTGGATATTATATGAAATGCTGACAGTGTCTCTTAATATGAGAAACGTGGGAGGATATTTCCTGTGTGCAGCTCACAAGAGTCGTGAATGTTGTTTTGTAACTCAGATGTAGGCTGTAAGTTGTTTCATTGTCAAATGGATATTACGAGAGCATAATGGAGCTGGTAATGGAGGTTTTACTGTGGTCAGCAATGACGATCACTCTGGTTAGTGATGACAGTAATGAGAGTCACTGGCTTTTAGCAGAAATATGAGCTCATTGCTAATGTACTACAGTCAACATTTGCTTATATAAAATGTATGTTAATTATGAGAGATGGGATGGGAATAGATATCGTTAAGGATACGGAGGTACATAAAAAGTATAGGCTAAAATAGCATGGCATTCTCCTTCTAGACAGCATTTATATAGACAAAAGTCTGTGTAATGCATATTTTCTCTATAACTTTTTCTTAGGTATATTTTACCAATATTGTAGCTGTATTTTAAGTATCATTTTAGGATAATCTCAAACCTATGGACATAAAAAAAAAAAAAAACTCCATTGGTGATATTAGGGATAGTTCACCCAAAAATGAAAATTCTGTCATCATTTACTTACCTTCATGTCATTCCAAACTCATATGGCTTTCTTTCTTCTGCACAACACAAAAGAAGATATTCTGAAAAATGTTTTAGCTGTTTTTGTCCAAATAATGAAAGTCAGTTGGGTTTTAAGGTCCCAAATGGACATAAAGGTAGCTTCATTTGACTGATATAAAGTTTTCCGAAGCGACATGATCACTTGAGTGATCAAACTGAGATTTAAGCCTTTATACACCAGTCATATCAAATAAAATAAAAAAAAAATTGATACGGCAACACAAACCTCAAATGGTCTCATGACGTGAGAACTTATATAGTTTGACGTTACTTGACGTTTGAAGTTCATGTTGTCATATTTGATGTAGTCTTTGTATGCCAACGTTAATCAGTAGCTATGTTTCCATCCACCTATTTTTATGCGCATTTTGGATTATCGCATAAAAACCGCTGGATGGAAACGCCAAGATGCGCATAAATTCTAAAAATGCGCATAAAAACGTATGCGCACAACTGAGTAGGATAAACTTTTTATCCGATAAGAAAAAATGCACATAAACTACGATGAAACACATTTGCCGAATAAATTCCACCAAGCGCATTGAAAAAGTCATGTGACTTTGCGATAAATTGACTAACCAGCGAACCGATCTCGTTCACAGCATCTATATGTTGTTTTGATCGTTCTGAAATGCCTGAGGGAAGTCTGTCATCAACGTATTTCTGTATATTTACTGTCTTACATGACTGCGTTCCCAAACAGCAGGCATCCACCTCTAAAAGCAATGACCGCATTTATTGTGTTACGTCTGCTCTCTCTGAAGCGCAAGTAATTTATTACATATGAAAATTATTATATTCAGTGGCTTCTACTAGTTTTCTTAGAGACATTTAGTGCCAGTTTATCAGGAAGTGACGATTTTGTTCTCTTTGACTCGTTGGATGGAAACGGTGCTTTATTCGCAAATGTTTTATGTGATATTCCAGTTTTGCGCATAAGTTAAATTCGCATCTTTGGATGGAAACATAGCTAGTGCTTTAATTTGATTTGAGAATAAATGAAGGCTTAATATCATATCAAGTGATTGTGTCACTTCACAAGGCTTATAATATACAAGCTGAATCATATACTGGATTCATTCTACAGTACCGTCATGCCATTTTTGGGTCATGAACATTTTGGACGCCATTGACTTTCATAATAATATGAACAGCTGAAACATTTTTTCTAAATATGTTGTATACAACTTAGTCTGTTGAAAACGAGGCTTTGAGGGAAAGACATTTTATGGGGGGGTGAAGACATTTTGTCAGCTGAACAATCTGTATGTTTTTAAACAGCAGTGCAATCCATTGTTCAGTAAACACACTGTACTTCTGCCCCTCACAGCCTCGTTTTCATTCCTGTCAAAAATTGAATATGATGCTGACTATGTCTATTGTATTGTGAGGAAGAAAGATAATTATGTTTGATGAGGGAGAGTAAATCATGACAGAATTTTCCATTTTAGCTGAAGTACTCTTTTAAGACCAAGAAATGATTGCCATTTAATTGCTTGAATGGACTAACAGCAGTTTGCTCAACACACACTCACAAATATAAGAAACTGGTGTCAAATAACAGCCCAGATCAATGCATGCATGCCTGTTAAATATTTCAGATGTGGCTCTCAGGTTGCTGTCATTGGATGGTCGGTGTGTAACGCTGTAGCTGAAGCCCGCAGTGTTACTTTGCGCTTGAGATGGCTGGCGTGTCTCTGTGCTGCCGGGTGCCTGCGCTAGAGCTCCTATTTTATTTCCGCTTGTTCCCTTTACTGGGCTTTGACTGTCTGCTCTTTCTTTGTATCTTGGGCGTTTCTCCTCACATGTGAAATTTCGGGGTCTCTGAATTCAAATTCATTTCAAGCTGCATGTCTTTGCCTCCATGATCGCATCATGTTCAGCCCAGGGAGCGAGGAAGCCATTGAGAGACTCAAGGTGACTGGCATAAAGCATGAAATCCTGACAAAACTGACTGAAATCCTTCAAATAGACATCTGACAAACATTTGCCTTAAAAAAAAAAAAAATGTATCCCCTTAGCGTTACTGTACTGTACTTACAAGCAGTGTTATTATTAACTAAAACTATTAAAAATCATTTTTGTTAATTGAAATAAAGCTTAAATAAAATATAAATATTCAATTAAACATTTTAAATTAAATGAAAATTAGAAATGTTGGCTTGGCAACTAACATATTTATTCAACTAAATATTATTCAAATGTATTATTCAACTTAATATATTTAAGTTGAAGTACAAAAATGTACTAAAAGTACTAAAACTAAAACTGAAATTAAATAAAGCTATATAGACATAAAAAAAAAACGAATAAAAATGACAAAACATAACAAATTTACTAAAACTTAAATTGAAAATAAAATGAACAAAATACAAATAAAAGGTCATTTAAAATATGAGTAAATACTACGATAGTATAAAAATAATACTAAAATAACACTGCTTATAACTGTACCTTTGAAGGCTAATTTACTGGTGTGTACCAACTGACGCAGACGCAACACTGAATATCACCAGATTACAGTCACTTCTCAGATATTCCATGACCCAACAAACCCCAACTGAACATGTTCAGTCTGCAAAAAAAAAAACAATTAGCCATATGATCACAATCTGGAAATTGGTTCAAAAGAGAAAGGTTGCAGAAATAAGCACCTATTAGCAAAGACCAACCAAGCACCTACCATTGAAATGAATAAGTAACCCCAAAAACTATATTGACATTTGCTGTCTAAAGATATAAGTTTCACATTAATAAATGTATAAAACTTACCATAGACTTTGTGGCGTATTTTAACTTGATATTGTTTGCAATGCCAATTAGGAAACGGAGAAAATTATTGCTGAGCTCAATGAAACCTGGGAAGAGAAGCTTCGCCGTACAGAAGCCATCAGAATGGACAGGTTTGTTGTATGAAGCCTTATGTGATTGATAAGCAGTTTTCCGTTATGTACAAGTTAACATATGAAAAACACCTAAATTGGTTTTTACAGAGAAGCACTGCTGGCTGAGATGGGTGTGGCCATGCGTGAGGATGGAGGAACTGTTGGAGTCTTTTCACCAAAGAAGGTAAAAAATTATAAAGGCTGTAGGGAGAAACCTTGTGCAGGTAGACCACATATTAAGGCTAATATGCTTGCTCAAATAACCAAATAAGCCTGTGATTGTCTTTACGTTCCTCTTCTGGAAGTCCTTGCAGAGAAAACCTCAGCCCGTTTTTATAGACACTGTTGGGCTGTTCTCTCCCAATGAGGTTGGTTGCCATGGATACTGTGTGATTGCATCCTGATCGCTCCTCTTTGACTGTTCTAATGTACCTCTGTGTGTTTTTCCTATCAGAGCTCTTTTAAATGTGTCTGTGATCTTTATTGAGGGATCTGTTGCTCATTATATGAATGTTGATGTGCTGCAATTCCTTCTAGTCTTTATAATAAACTTTGAAGCACTTTGAAGACTTCAGATCTAAAGCATCATGGCCCCATGATGCTTTTAAAGGCTTTCTGTCTGGAATCTTATGCAATTTTGTGATATCTAAATCTTATCGCATGCATTTTGATGGATATTGAAATTAAAACTTGGTGTAAAGATGGCTGTCAGTAAAATTGTTTGACTTCTATCTTATTTTCCTCTTTTAAAAGGTTGTCTAAATACATTTTGAAAGTGCTCGCAAGGCAGCGCTACACAGATGTTTTGCAAACATTTTGGCTAGAATTTGATTTAAATTATTGATTCCAAGTGTTAAACATCTGCACATAATTGAGCCTTCATTGAAACTTTTTCTGGAGATAATGGCATCTTTTGTTTCATTTTTTTGTCCCTATTATTCATACTTTTTAAGTTAAAAAAAAAATGAAAATCTCCAACTTCAGCATATTCGGCATTTGAAAATGTAATGTAATTTTAATGTATACTGAATTGTGAATTGTGATGCTTACCAATTGTGATCAGTCACATGAGATTTTAGCAATTAGTAAACAATCCAGTCACTTCCCAATGGACAAAGGCAAAGCTTTTTTTCTTGTTCAAGAAGCCATTTACTCAGATAAACATCACAATAGGGAGGAAAAAAACTATCAGAGTTTCCGTTTCATTCCAACTATGTCCATTTATAGTCACATTTAGACTGTGGAATGAAGGTATTGATTCTAGTATAAAGCTGACAGAAAACAAGACGCCTTCTCATTGTAATGACAACAGCAGTGCAACCTTACTGTGGCGTTTAGCATTAACACAGAACCAAAGCCAAGAACCTAAACTTACCTGAAACTATTCAACTGCTGCCTCGCAAGCACTGGTATATCATTCAGTAAATATAAAACCTGTAATGTTGATCCGTGCCTTGATTACAGACGCCCCACCTGGTGAATCTAAATGAAGATCCTTTAATGTCTGAGTGTCTTCTGTATTACATCAAAGATGGAATTACCAGGTTAGTGCCAATCCAAGCTTCTCTTTTTCTCCATTGTGCATATAAACCCCACATATACAGTGGGTACGGAAAGTATTCAGACCCCCTTAAATTTTTCACTCTTTGTTATATTGCAGCCATTTGCTAAAATCATTTAAGTTAATTTTTTTTCCTCATTAATGTACACACAGCACCCCATATTGACAGAAAAACACAGAATTGTTGACATCTTTGCAGATTTATTAAAAAAGAAAAACTGAAAAATGCTCAGTATTTAGTAGAAGCACCCTCTTGATCTAATACAGCCATGAGTCTTTTTGGGAAAGATCCAACAAGTTTTTCACACCTGGATTTGGCGATCCTCTGCCATCTGTATTACATCAAAGATGGAATTACCAGGTTAGTGCCAATCCAAGCTTCTCTTTTTCTCCATTGTGCATATAAACCCCACATATATGTTCTGTTCAGTAGAATTGGTACTAAGGTGTCTTGATATGTTGCTGTGCTCAGGGTGGGGAGAGAAGATGCCAGCAGAAGACAGGACATTGTTTTGAGTGGTCACTTCATCAAAGAGGAACACTGCACTTTCACCAGCACCACTGGACCTATGGGAGAAGGTTTGTTAATGGCGCACTCCACAGACACACATACTCGTACACATATATACCACAATCCTCATGGCTGTTCCTCCTGTTTTTTACAGCTGTCATTCTTGAGCCGTGTGAGGGAGCAGAAACTTATGTCAATGGGAAGAGAGTAACAGAGCTTACGGTTCTCAAATCAGGTCTGTTTACACTTTTCCCTCACCTGCTACGTTACTTTTTTAAAACATTATCGATTGGTTCCAATTATATAGCTTTTATTTAATTTTTTTAAATTTAATTTAATGTTTATGATTTCATTTTTTAATTCATTTATTTATAAGACCGCGAGAAAAGCCCATTCCCTCGCACCATTGTGGCTGTAGAAGTCCAAGATCAGAAAAATGGAGCCACACATTACTGGACCCTGGAGAAGCTCAGGTAATTATCGCATGTTTGATAGGTGCCCCTGTTATGCCATTTTTAAGGTTCCTAATATTGTTTTGGGAGTCTTTTACAATAGGTTTACATGCATGCAAGGTCAAAAAATTATTTTATTTTCTCAAAATATGCATTTAATATCACCTAATTTTCCAACCATTTTCAAACGATTCGTTTGAAGCAGTTCTAAGATTCAGTCTCCCTAAACCCCTCCTTTCCGTGAGACTACTCTTGCTCTGATTGGTCAGATGGCCCAGTCTGTTGTGATTGGTCTACCGCATACAGCGTGTTTCAGAAACGATACGCCCATTGCCATAGTTCCGTATTTTGAATGCTTGATAGAAAATATAAACATCATCAATTATTAATCATACTTACAGGTTGTGATTCAGTGGAGCCAGCTGGTCCAAATAAACTGTGTACTGAGCCATCTTTCAAGAGCAAGCGTTTTGTGAATCCTGCGTTGAAGTCCCCGAGATTAGAGAAGCAGTCATCAGTAAAATGACAGGAACACAAAAAAGATTGGGGTTGTACTGCTGTGGTACAGTGGAAAAAATTAATTTTAACCACTGATTCTTTGCAGCCTCTTCATTCGGAAATGAAAATAAAATGAATTTACTTTCACAGCATCTTCTCAACATGATGTTTTCCACATGAACAAACTACAGTGTTTGAGGGCGGGGTCAAGTTGTTTGCTGCCGGCCAATGTAGAACATAGGCGGGCATTATGCAAATATGTTTCCCTGTGACATGTAGCTGTCACAGAAGTGGGATTCGGTTTACTGATGACTCGATTCGGCTGATCAGAGTCGATTCTTTCCTTTGGGAGACAATAACTTTATTTATCGTGCACTTTTGGCTTTACAACTTTGCAGATCATTTACATTTAAATACAGCTACATTACACACTGCATGAATGGCAATATTCGAAATGGTATAATAGGGGCACTTTAATATTTTAATCATGGTATCTCATGTTTTAGGATTCAAAGTCTAAGATAAGGGTAAAACAATAACATAAAAGTTGCTTGAAAGGTAATAAAATAATGAAGGCATGTTGTTTCAGGACATTAAAAAGAAAAAGTATATTACTTGTAATGAAAATGAAGTTCTGAAATATAAAATGCTCATAGTTGAAGAGAAATCCAGCTATACTTTGAGTCACTTTGGGTTTCACAGTGTATCTAGTATTTACATTATAAGTGATGTGTAATGCTTCCCTCTGCAGGCAGAGGCTGGATCTGATGAGAGAGATGTATGATCGTGCTGCTGAGGTGCCTGGCAGTGCTCTTGAGGACTGTGACAGTGTGCTGACTGGAGGCGATCCATTCTACGACCGCTTTCCCTGGTTCCGTCTGGTTGGAAGGTGAGTTGTAAGATTACATCAGAGCATGGCTAGACAGACCAGCTGGTGATCAGTACAGAATGCCCCTGCACTCACTGACTACTGTCAGATAAAGACCACATGATCAACAACATTCCTGTCAGATTTCTCCTCAAACTATGCTTTTATTCGAATGGCCCATTGAAAGTGAATTAATTTCTCTTATGCAAAACAAAATGAGCAATTCTCATTGTGTTTTGTACTTGTAATAGTAGAGTATCTTGCAGGCCAGAACAACTGCTGGAAAGAGAAAATGTAATAAAAGCTGTTGCTAAAGCTGATCTCTACAGGATATATGTAATATTGCTTATTCCTCTGAGGAATAAGTCCAGAGTTATTGCCCACACGCTTTTAAAGAGTGCAAGATTTTTGATGCTGCTTTATTCAGAAGAGCATGAAATCGATTTTCCATGCACTTTCAAATTAGGTCACACGCTTCCCTTTACCCTGTCTACTTCAGAGCTGTATGACTTGCTCTTAATCTTGCCTTTACTATATCTTAAAAGATTAGTTCACACAAAAATACAAATTCTCAGGGTGAATCTCATGTTGTTCCAAAACCATATTACTGACTTTCTTCTGTGGAACTCAAAAAGACAGATTTTTTTTTAATGATGTAATTTGCTGTTTTCCATGCAATTATGAGAAGTGCGAACTGGAGCTATATCTCTGAGATGTATGATAGCTTTGTGTGACAAACAGATTTGAATGGTTATTCACTGATAATTTTTCTCTTAAGTGAGCTGTTAACTGCTACAACTGGATCAGTGGCTTAGGGAGGTGAACTCAAGAACTGGATCAGTTCAATTTGTGAACTTGCATGATCATTCAGACTGCTTTTGTGAACTGCACCAATCGAGTCATTAAAAAAATATGCTTCAAGAATCAGTCATCACTTCTTCTCTCTTGAATACACCAAGGAGAGCTAGGGTGTGTGAACTTTTCAGTGAATAACCTTTTTGATCAAGATTTTGATGTGTTCCTCACACAAAGCTATTGTATGATGTCAGAAGACTTAAAGTGAATGAAATGCCTTTATTTTAATGTTTTTTTTTTGTTTTTTGTTTTTTGTCGTTGTGGAGCTTGTCAGCCCCCATCCTTATTCACTTTCATATATTGAACATATTGGCTGAGATTTTTAATATTTTGTAAGTATTTCTCAAAAATGCAACTTTTTGTGTTCCAAAAAGAAAACGACATGGCTATTATTTTAGTAAGTTATGACAGTTTTGAAATTTTGAGCAAACTATGCCTATAAAATGTACACTATCTTTTAAAGATTTGGGGTTGGTATGTTTGTTTTTATGTTTTTGGAAAAAGTATCAATGTTAAAAACAGTTGTGCTGCTTAATATTTTTGTGGAAACCATGATACAATGTTTTTTAGGATTGTTTGATAAATACAAAATTCAAAAGAACAGCTTTTATTTGTAATTGTCATAATCTGCACGGGGACACGAAGGTAGAGGATCCAAATGCAGTAGTTTATTGAAGGGGTAATCCACAAACGTAATCCAAAGGAAGGCAGAGGTCATGCAACAAATAGGCAATCCAAAACAATGACAGAGTAAGGGGCTGAGGCAAACAGAGTAATCCAGAAAACAGGCAGAATAACAAGACCAGGAACCAAGATACAGGAGAACCACAATACAAAGCTTAGAATTGCAGTAAAGACACATACAAGACTTAGGCCATGTCCACACGTACATGGGTATTTTTATAAATTGAGTTTTTCCTTCTTCCGTTTAAAAAAAAATCTCTTTCCACATGAAAACGCAAAAGTATGCTAGATTTGTGTTTAAGGTTTTGAGAAAATGAGGGTTGGTTTCAAGAAATGTGTTTTAGCAATTCAGAAAAGCTGTATTAATATTATCAAACCTCAGGACGCCGATGATGTCTTGGTTGATACGGAGGTTCATCTTTAGGAAGTCAAGCTGGTGCATTTATTGTGCTGCAGCGCCATCTACCTGTAGTCAGTAAATGTGATTGAGTGTTCAAACAAAAAAAAAAAAATTTAATATATATATATATATAATTTTTTTAATCTTACTGACCCCAAACATTTGAAAGGTAGTGTAATATTGGACATTCTTAAAGAATCCTGTTACATAGGCCGCTATTCACATTACTGATGAGTGTTTTTTAGGTTGTGTATGTCTTGTATCCCCATGACCCAGCTACTTTGTTGCCCGATTAAAATTGTTTACTTACCCACTTGCGAGCAGAAAGAGTTAAATAGACAGATGGCCCCTCATACTAACTGGGCTCCCGTGTCTTTGGCTACACCAGAAACCCCCTTTTCTCCACATGCCTTAGTGAGCAAGCGAGCGACCCTAACTCCTCCCCCACCCCCTCTGAGCCCACATCAACCTCTGAAATCACTGAGCTGGTCCAGTCGTGGCCTGACAACAGGGTGGGGACAGAGTTGGATGACTTGGACGATGATTTCTTATCGGACGACCCATGCTCGGATCTTGAAGCACTGTCAAGAGCATGCCAAACCAACAGGTGGCGATATAATCTCAACCGTAAAGACATGTTGGCCAATCAGAAGCCTGAAAAAGTTGTCCAGTAGGCGGAGATAATAGCGCGTGCTCCGACTTCACAAGCCAAAATCTCCGGTTTCGCTGTCTACACGATAACACTACAACCGGAGTTTTTGAAAATCTTCACCCTGGCAGGAATTTTCAAAAATTTTCAGTTTCAGTGACCTCGTGCTGCGTTTACGTGTGGACGAACGGCTAAACCGCATAGAAAAAGCTGCGGTTTTAAAAATAACCGCGTTTGTGTGGACAGGTCCTATAACAGAGACTCATAAGACTCACGTGAATCATGAGCAGAAAAATTGTTGACTTACCCACTTGCGAGCAGAAAGAGTTAAATAGACAGATGGCCCCTCATACTAACTGGGCTCCCGTGTCTTTGGCTACACCAGAAACCCCCTTTTCTCCACATGCCTTAGTGAGCAAGCGAGCGACCCAAACTCCTCCCCCACCCCCTCTGAGCCCACATCAACCTCTGAAATCTCTGAGCTGGTCCAGTCATGGCCTGACAAGAGATTGGGGACAGAGCTGGATGACTTGGACGATGATTTCTTATCGGATGACCCATGCTCGGATATTGAGGAGGAGGAGGGGGAGGATGAGGATGAGGATGATGATGATGATGA